CTCTGTTCCCAGCCTCCGCCAGCTCGATGCCTCGCAGGCACCACTCAGCATGGTTCCCCTGTGTGCTCCTGCTCTGCTCTTGCAGCGGTGGTCCAGTTGCTACCACGGGAGCTATGCCCTTCGTCAGCCCTTCCCTGATGCCCATCAGCTTCAGAGGTGGCTCCCGGGGGAGCGATGGGGGCTCTGCCGGTGGGTGGCGGAGGATGGGTGGGCTCTGCCTCTGCTCCGGGAGCAGCAGCTGAGGAGACTCCCTTCGTGCTGCCCCATGGGATGGCCTGGAGGAGTAAATGTGTGAATGCCGGTGATCTGACGCAGACAGCCCTGAGAGCAGGAGCAAGCAGGGTGCATGCACAGGGCTGGGCTGCTGCTGGCCCCCTGCTCCCCACAAACGGCCCCTTGCTGCCGTTTCAAGGCGGGCTTCTTTCTGCTCAGCCCCTCGCAGCAGAGACTGAAGGCTGGCTCAAGCCACAAGGGAAATTTGCAAAAACCTGCAAATCCAACCCATTTTAGGCCACGGTTGGGAAACGCCTTGGATTCAGTTTTTGAATTTTTTGGGTGGGGAGAGGGGAGTGTTGCTTATTTCTTTTTGCAGTGGGGAATTGCGTGTTAGATGGGGAGCGATGGTGCAGGTGGTACCTCGGGCGAGGTGCCGCTGTGCTGGGCAGAGCTTTGGTTTAGAAAACGGCTTTGGAGCAAGCCGTGGAGAGGCAGGGCAGGCCGGGGCTCGGAGGAGCACTGCCCCGCAGGTGTGTGGCTCTGCGCATCCTATGGAGGATGCTGATTTGCGCAGAAGCTCTTTAACCTCTCCTCTGGGGCAGGACTTGCTCCGGAGCAGGTTAAATTAGTTTGCAGGCAGCCCTTTGCTGCAGTGGCCAGATGACATCTGGTACCCAAACCACCTTGGTCGTGGCTGTGTTGTGATCCACAGCATGCCCATGCTCTTGGGAGGGATGGCTCAGCCACCCGGTTCCTGGGGCAGAACTGTCTCCAGGCATGTGGCCTGGAGTGCCTTTGGGATGAAAGACCCCAAGGGAAGGATGTTTTCCCATGAAGAAAGCGAAGTTGGGGGCCAGCAGTAGCTTCCAGGTGTCCTTGCATGGGAACAGGGTGCTGAGCAGCTGTGAAGGGATGCGTGATGTTGAGTGCAACATGGTGCAGCAAGAGGAAAAGGGCCTTTGAAGAAATAGGACTTAATGCTTCTTTCCTCTCTTCTCAGTTGGCCATGTGGGCAGCACAAACCAACCTCTGCCCTTGGTGCCCTCGGCTGCTGGGTTTGCGTGCTCAGCAAGCCTGGGCTCGGGCAGGTTTTGCTGTCTCAGCTCAGATGCTGTACTTAGTCCCACCTCTGCTCCTAGTAAGGTGACAGGGATTTGCTTCGAAACTGCCTGAAAACCTGTGTTGCTCTGATTTTAGTCGACTAGCTGTGTATGAAAGCGAGCTGATGGGGTAGTAGTCTGACCCACCTGGGGTGGGCCGCCGAGATCCACGGCTGTCAGACCCACGTGATTGGGTTCATCAAGGCTTCCTGTACTTCTCCAGGTCATATCTACAGCAAACGGGACCACCAATGACTGCAGCTCAAACAGGACGGTGGCCATGACCCCCACCATGGACTCCCGACTGTACATGCTTTCCCTCCTGCCCTTCGTGGTGCTGCTTACATTCATCCAGAATCTCAAGGTCCTGTCTGTCTTCTCCATGCTGGCCAACGTGGCCATGCTTGGCAGCCTCATCGTGATATACCAGTACATTGTCAGGGTACGTGTGTACGGCTCCCCTCTGTCATTTCTGTGATGTCCTGTGTTTTGGCAGGTGGAGGGAGCTTGACAGTGGGGTGTTTGCATGCCATGGGGTGCTGCTTGCTCCTGTGGGCACAGCGGTTACCCTCTGCTCTGCAGGGCTTTCCCTGCAGCGTGGGGCTGTGACAAGGAGTGCTGGGAGCGAGCCAGGTCCTCCCCATCCTCCCCACATCTGAATTCTATGTGGGCTTTTTTCCAGGACATTCCTGATCCCAGTGACCTGCCTCTAGCAGCAGCCTGGAAGACCTACCCTCTGTTTTTTGGCACTGCGATCTTTGCTTTCGAAGGCATTGGGGTGGTAAGTCTCGGCGTGTGGCAGAGGGGCTGCCTGCACGGGAGGCTCAGCCCGTGCTCGGGCTTGCCCGCAGCACCTGCTCTGCGTCGCAGCTGTATTTGCAGACGAACCTCTCTGACGGTAGCCCAAATTCTGGATGATGCTATTAGCTTTAGCCTTTAGGCTGTCTCCTGGGTCAAACCCTGTTGCTTCCATCTGAGGCTGAAGGAGCACATGCTCCAAACCTCAGGAGGCTGGTTGCTGCTTTAAAGGTGGCTGTATCTGGCAGCTGCCTTTGGCTCTGCTGGCTGACCTGTGGACGAGGAATCGTCCTGACTCTTGTTACCAGCCTGGATCCTGAAGCTGCCTAAGTGGGAGGTGAAAAAACATGACACACAAAAAATGTGATCTCCCTTCGGCAGCCACGTGCCCCCAGCCTGCTGTTGGGCTGGATTTGCATGTGCCTCTCACGTGGGATGCTGTAAATAGACAGGCTGTGGCTGTGAAAAAAGCTGGGTGGGTGGGTGGAGGGCTTAATGGCTGGCTAAGATGTTGTGGGTTGTTTCTGGGAGCTGCCTTCAAAGGAGGAAAAAATGTTTTCATCTCTTAATATAAGCTGGCTGTGTAAACACAGGGCTGGAAAGGGCCAAATCCATTACAGGAGGAGTGTTTATCGAATGTTCTGCCCAGGGCAGAGGGCTCTTGCCGGCAGTGAGGCACAAATGCTCTCTTCCTCACATTACTTGGAGGTGGGGAAGCAAATAAAAGCTTTTCTGGTCCTGCCTCCTCACCGGCCCTGCCACTGTGTCTGTTCTTGAAATCCCCACCACCCAAGGACAGCTATAAAAATGCTTGCTGCAGTCCTATATTTGAAAGCAAGTGTTATTAGTATAGAGGTGAGGGACTTGGCTCTGTCCTTCCTTTTGTTTTTTTTTTGTTGTCCTGCCTGGTTGAAAGCTGTCCGGACAAACTTGATAGGAGAGGAGAAAGTGTCTTGGTCTTTCCAGGGTCTGCTGGGGACAATAAGACAATGTATCATGGTGGGCCTGTCCCAGTGGGCATGGCTGTGCTGTTTTGGGGTGCAGAGTGTAATGCAACCAAGGTATGGGGCGGATGGCATCGCCCCAAGACGCCAGGCACCAACGAGCACAGCTCCTGCCAAGGGGAGGGAGCAGGTCCCTTCGTTAAGGCAAGGGCATGAGTGACCCTGCTGGGGACTTGCCGTGCCAAGTGTGAAGGTTTCAAATGGGAGCACAGAAATCGGATCTCCAGTACAGTGGCTTTTTCGGCTGGGTTCTCCAGGCTCCGTGTGTGACCATCCTGTCCCCTGGCACGGGGGGGCTGGCCGTGGGGCTGCCCCTTCTGCTTTCTGGGGCTGAGGGATATAGAGGAATGGGGGCAACCTGCTGCTTTGTCGTCGTCCTCCTCCTTTTCCTCCTCTCCCAGGTGCTACCTCTGGAAAACAAGATGAAGAACCCCCAGCAGTTCCCAGTCATCCTCTATGTGGGGATGACCATTGTCACCATCTTGTACATCAGCCTGAGCGTCCTGGGGTACCTGCGCTTCGGGGCGAACATTCAGGCCAGCATAACGCTCAACCTGCCCAACTGCTGGTGAGTCCCTGCGTGGAGCGGAGGGGCCAGGGGGCAAGGGAGGAGGGTCCTGGCCAGGGTGGCAGGAGAGGGGGCAGTGGGGGACGTCACTCCTTAGGAGAACTAATCTGGGTGAGCTTGGGGAAGGATCAGCTGTGCTGTAGCC